TCCATTCTGGGACCACTTTTAATTTTCAATTTATGTCAATGATTTTGACAAATCTTCTGATCTGTTTTCTTTTATTCTATTTGCTGATGACAGCAGCTTTTTTGTAGTCATCGGGCTATTTATATACTATATGGATATGTTAATTTTGAGCTTCAGAAAATCTCCAACTGGGTTAAAGCTAACAGACCATCCGTCAATATTCACAAGACAAGTTTTACATTTTTCATCAATAAACAATGTTGTAAGTTGGCTCATGTCTTCATTGACAATACACAAATTCTAAAAGCTCAATATGTGAAATTTCTAGGTTTATATGTAGACGAGAGACCCTCACGGGAAAAAACACATTAATAATAATTATCTGTGCAATTATTTCGAGAAACATTGGTGTTATACGTAAACTGAAAACATTCTTCCCTTAAGGCATATTGCATATACTTTATAGTACCCTAATACAAATATTACCTAACTTAATATATGGAGTATTGGCTTGGGGCAACTGTGGAATTCGTCAAACAAACAGAATACTTAAATTACAGAAAAAGGTCATTAGAATAATCAACTGTACCACCTACTTTGTCCTCTTTTTTTTATAATTGCAAAGCACTTAAAAAGGATGATATTTATTCTTTTCATCTTGGGACGTTCATGCATCAATCATATAATAATTTGTTTCCTTTTAGGTGTGGATGGAGTGTATGATCACTTCACTGGACAGTACCAAATTTCATCAATCTTTTGCTCATAGGGCCTACCACTGCTACTCAAAATACAGTTGAGCATCAGCGTCCCAAGCTATGGAATTCCCTTAAAGTTTCTGTAAAAGTACATGTATACTGAATTTTCGTTTACTCAAAAGGAAATTTAAGGCTAAATTACGCTCTACTTATGTATACTCTTAATTAGTCTAATTCTTTACATGTCTCACAGGGTTACTGCAGTATACTGGACCTACAGTTTTGGTTTAGTCCTGCGATGTTTATGTGTATTAGGTGTGCTATGTGTTAATATGTGATGTTAATTAATGTACTGGAGGATCCTGCTCGACAAGCTTTCGCTTCTTGCGACCCCCCATCTTTATTTATATATTTATCTTTTCTTATATAACCAGGACATATTGTAATTGACAGTTATGAGGTAAAATAAAGAATGAATGAATGACCATGGCGCGGCAAGATCGTTGCAACTTGAACGAGGCTGGGTGTCTTTAGCCGGTTCGTAAGTATGACGTCACTTCAGTTTAAACCACGCCTACTGCACGTGCACTGCACATAGCAATGATTGCCGTTAACGTGGAACCATGGAACCGGAAGTTAACGCACAACTTCAGCGATCGTCCAATGGGCGAGCCTGAAAATCGTGGCGCGTCCGCCTTCGTGACGAAGTCACTTACGAACCGGGTAAAGTTGCACTACGCCGAATACGCACCCTTAGAAAACAGTGCAAAATCGAAATGAAATGGCACTGCCTGTTGACTCTCGTGAAGAGTTTGGTCTTAAGATTATTCAAGACTATGGCCAGCAGATCACTTTTCGTTTCAATTTTATGGGGGTTAGCCACGAAATACTTTTGTTTCACCTTTTCTGGAAGATACCCCTAATTTAGCGCTAAATCTGTGCGCTCAGCTGTGAAAGTAGCCACCCGCCTCTATCCAAAACAGGCTCGAAATTTGGGGCTTTTTGTGGAAGAAATACCCCGAACTGGAAACTATCAGTCCCAAATTCGGAATTTATAGAAATATTTCTATGATTCCTCCTGAATGTAATGACGTCATCATTCTGGAAGTTATACCGAATGATAAATCTCCCTTGTTCTTTGACGTCATCATTTGATGTAAATCTTCTTCTTCGGAGATGTTCCACAAATATTGAGATGGTTTACATTTTCATATGACAGGCATCACAATTCTGTCTGCCATCAAACCAGATAATCTATACCTAACCCCCATCTTCTTATGCCTGTAACTAAAACAGACACGTCTCATCTAGCTGTTTGATTGATTTCACATAGCAAATCATTTCATTTACCGTATTATCTGCGCAAGGGTTTCATTCATAACCAACTTAATGAACTAATATTAATATCTTTAGGATGCATATTGTAAGTTCTTCGAGGTCTCATCGGGTAAAAGATTTTCCCTCATGCCCAGTGTCAGCATTTCCGTAAGCGCATGACAACGTGCGCCGTGTGCGTACCTGCCATTTTGTTACCAGAATAGATTTAGTTCATTCTCCAAACAAAACTGTAAGGATTTTCTGTACACATGTTCCCAGCCACAAAGATAAATATGACATTCGACTTGCATACAGTTGTAATCGATCCACCTGTCGCATGTACATAAGGTGTGGTCTTCAACGCGTGCCATATTGTACTTCTCACCTACCGGTATCACATAAATAACGAGTAGGCAGGCAATGTGTCCATTGAATGTAGCGATAACAAGTTATTCGTTATGATGTGACATAATTTTATATTCGAGGATTTGGCCTTAAGGGTGACCTTTGCATCGAGGACCAAAGGCTTTTCTCAAAGTAAAAACATTAACACAACAAGCACAAATCTGGACGGCTGTTAAACGGTCGCCCACTGCTCATCGCCTTTTTTAGGAGGCCTAAGCTACGTCTGAATGCTAGAGGACCCGTAGAGAGTAGGCCTACCATCATAGGCCTATATCAAACTAACGGTTGATGGTCAATATATTCTGCCCTCGTTTTTCTTCAGTTTGTATATTATGAACTTGAATGCTAGCTGTTAGAAGTCTAGTTTCTTGAAAATTTTATTTCATTTTCAGTTCATTGTAATTCCATTGATCCTACAATTAACCCCACCCATGTTTGAACTCTTATAAGCTTTCGGAGAACTTGTCTCTACAGGGTAACTGGAACACCCATTTCAAGGTTGTGACATCAGAATGTGGAAAAAGAAAGGCAGTTGGTAAGCTAGAAAAACTTCATACAGCCCACTTCCAAAGGCCAACAGAAAGACGCAAAACAGTAAAGTTAAGCACACATAAAAGCAGAACACTTCGTAGTACCGGTACGTATCTTTATCAAAAAGAATCCATCTGATAAAACCCAGTAAATTAATACTTGCGTAATAACTGCGTCAGTTCAAAATTTGTCCTGAACACCATTAATTTAAAGGCGGTGACACTAGCGCCAGTACACGCTTCCTGGACCCCGTTGAACCGTAGACCGTATTCGCGGCGTATTTCAGTCGTATTCCTGAACGTACAGTATAAACTTGAAACCCGTATTTGGATGGTACCAGGTGATTTTGGGGGTCGGAATGAAATCGTAGAATATAGTATGTTTTTTTTAATTTAACGTTTTCAAATAAATACACTACGTTAAGGAATCTGACTGAAATACGATGCCCCGCTAATACGGTCTATTTCAGCGCGTATTAGCAATAGGCCTAAACAGGTCGGGGACCAAACCACAATTTAGCGACTACGCCAGACTATGCATACGCCGCTCGTGTGTGCAATGTTAATGTAATTATTGAACTATCTTTAGATCACGGTTCGTAGATGACATCGATCTCTTTATCGGCCCAAAACATCAAAACGAATTCCTCTGATTGATTAAATTTACAGGAAAAATGCTATCCAACAAGATCTAAATGAAACTTTCCTTTCATTTGGTATCTATAAAAGAGGATCGAGGAGATTTTTCGGTCGAGTCTTGCATTGGATGTGTCGAAGTCGGTAGGCAGGCGAGTCCAACTCTGCCGATGAAAACGTTTTTGCGAAAAAATGAAGCTTTGCCGAAGTTTACTTTATGCATGAAAATGTTGCCATTAAAAATCTCCATCGATTCACCGCGTGTGACAAATTTTATGTTTACCGTGGCGATTTTCCAAAATAGCGATTGGATACAATTTTGCCATAGACTTCAACTGTAACGGCAGCCATGTTGGCCACCCAAAATCGCAAGGGAAAATTACATCATTATCACGTGACCTGATAAAAATGATGTCATTGCCGCTTGAACTAGCGACATGAGCAGAAACTGGGGACGTCACCAGAGTGTGATTTGGTCCCCGACCTGCTAAATGCATGTAAAATTCAACAGAGCACTACATACAAAGAACCCATTCATTGCAAAGCTGCCCTAGATTCTGTACCTAGCACACTATCAAATGTTTGCAAAATAGTATAATTCTATCAGGTAAAAATGTAGTTAATGGGTACGAGTTCGCTCACCAGCACCAGTCTCAGACCTCCTGTCGAAGTATTACAGGTTACTACTATTGGCCTCGGGAGGGCGTCCTATTACGAAATCGTCGCCGTTGAGGGCTCTGCCGCTGATTTTTAACCCCTTGACTTTAAGTTGATAGTTCAGTATTAAAGCAGGTAGTCCCACAGGAACATCTGACTTTTCGCATCTGAGTCAGATACTGACGTATTCCTACCAAATTTGAACACTGAAGGCCTATTACATTCGAGGATTAATTTTAGGGACGGCGGCAAGAACAAGCTAAAATGTACTGAGAAATCGTGCCCACAATGAGTTGGGAGAACAAACAGGTGACGCCTTGTGGCGCACTTCAAAAACTTTGCACAGGAAAAACAACATGCAAAAAACCCAAAATTCATATATTTCGGTGCATTTATAAAAATGGACTTCCAGAAAAGGCCCTTTTTAAATCAAAGATATGTGATTATATCATTAGGGATTTTCTTTTTTTTTGAAAAGACGGTCGTTTCAAGCCATGGAAAAATTGTCTTCGGTTTCATCAGCGTAAAATAACAGCCATTGATTGGGAGCGAATTCGGACAGTTTCTGTCTCTAATAATTCATACATTTCTTCACGTAGCACTTAATCCTACTCCAAAATGGCTTCAGCCATTACAGAAAGACAACTACATCAAGACTCATCCACGTGACGCGAGTAAACGGAAAGGAGAAGCTAACAGGACCAACACCATTAATCACCAAAGAACAAACAAAAACAAGCAAACAAAAATACATATACAAAAAAGACAAACAATCAAGTAGGAAATCATGCTCTCACCAAACGTTTTATTATAGAAGTAACACTGCACTTTTAACCTTTATGACACTTGACGGGATAGGCCCTTAATAGCTGCAACCATAATTATGGAGTAATCTGATCTCGTACACTTTAAAATAGCTGCGTAATAAAAATTGCCATTCTTCAGAGGAAGAGTTACAACAAACAGGAAATAATCAATTTTAGGAGAACTTTGGATTTTCGGGGACGTAGAATACGTCGACAAATTGAAGCTCTGAAATCAAAATTTGTCAGGATGCATTAATTTAAAATCAGTTCGTTAAATTTAGGGTCAAGTGAAGTTTCAGTTCTGATAGGTTCAATCTAACATAACAGGTGCTTGGATCATTCTACTTTAAACAAGCGGGCAATGTATCTACACTTTCCAACTGATAGACTATAGGACTATGTTTTTTATCGTCATTTAATCACTGCGAATCATGTTTCATTGTTTCAGTGGACAGTTTAAATCTCGCTTGGTTGTGCAATAAAGTAACGGTGGAGACAGTGCGTGCGTTTTTTTCTGGCAAACAAGGCGAATCTAAGGGTTTGTTGTTAGAGCGGGAACAATATTGACACATGTTAATCCCGCGTTTTAATCTTTCAAAAATAACTGTTTATAAAAACCCTCCACCCACAAAAGTTATCAAACAGTAGAACCCTTTCACCAAACAAACCACATGCATTAATCAATCATACGTGTATTCGTGTGCCCTTCAAACATTTTCACAAGTTAACGGTGCTTATTGTTTTGTACGTGTTTGTGATCACACAATGTATAGAGTGTGTGTGATATCGACTAAAACTTGCACTTCAAAACTTCTACAAGGTTGATGTAGCCACTTCTAAATTAACGTTATTACGAAACTACATACGCTATGAAGCCATTGATTCAATTTGGAAAGTACGCTGAGTATGATACATTTTGTTTGTCTGTTCAGTTGCCTTGTTATTGAAATCGGCCATGTTTGTCATGCGTACTCGAAAACCGGAACACCGAAATGACTTATTGGGAAGTATCCGAGCCGATTCTTAATAGTATCTTACTTGGTCGGCGTTGAAGAGAAAATTGCCAATATATTTGTTGGCTTCTTCGTCGTATGGCCCTCCCCAGTTGACGACCACGACGTACAGGTTCTCCTTGCTAGTCATGGGATCTGTCAGGACAGTATTGCTCGGGAGTTGGTCGCCATTGTGAGCAATGTTGTTCACACCAACCTGTGTGAGAAAGGCAAGGCATTGACAATTAATGACTGGATTCACGATTAATAGGCCAGTGTTCAGTCTCCATGATCTAGACAGTGCGTTGTGGCTATTTCGTCTTGACATTTTATTTTTTGCACTGATTCCCAAACCTTTTATTTGTGACAAATATCTTTAGGAAGCACATTCAATTCTTCGCGCACTCATTGAGTAGATTTATCCTCGTCCCAGTGTCAACACCTCCGTATGTGCGTGATAACAGCTTATGTCCATTAATTTCTTTCGGCAGTGTTACCTCCCTTCCAGGGTAATGAGGCAGGCTGATAACTTTCCTAGATTTTGCACAGGAAGTACAGAGTTTGCAAACAGTTGGAAGTCGCTCCATTCTTGATCTCGTCAAAATGCATTTATTTAATGCAACGCAGCACGCGAACAAAGCAATGTTAAACTTTAATATCTAACGGTCAATCGAGTTCTGTCTAAACTGGGTCCAAAATCTATAGGTCATTCAACATGAAGAAATTGTGCCGCTACCAGAACCCTGTAAACGGCGATAGGAAGGAGCCAGTGTCTGATAGGAAATTCCAGTTACCATCGTCGCTAGAGGGCGTTAGATGCGAGGGTGAAAAAAGAAGGAACCAGTGGCCGGTTCGATTCTGGACTTACGTCGCACGGAAGTGTTTTACACATGTACTGTGCGAAACTACTCTCCCCGTCCACTGATGTGATAGTCGAAGCCACGGCGAAAATGTGCGTCTCTGTGTTGCCGCACCAGGTGAAGCTGATCAGAGCCTCCTCCAGGTAGCCAAGGGAGACGGAAGGGAACGTCAACACCGACTCGGTCAGGATCACTGGTTTCCTGGAGAGCTCCTTGACTGATGCACCCAGGTTAGAAGGCGCATGGCGACGCGTTGGTAAATTAGCCTTGACGTAAGAAGCTGCTTCGGTACCCTAAAGATTTAAAGAGGCAAAAAATAATGGTATTTCTGCCACCTGTCACCTTTTGGCGGGGTGTGAGTTTACTTAGAGGCGGCTGTGGTCAAACAGAAATGCTTAGACATGAAAGATATATAAAAATGAGTCTGTGCCATAAGACGACAATTCTCGGCTTCTTCACAAGTTGAAAAACTTGAATTGAAAGTAAGGCAATCCAAATGATTTTTTTTTACAAATTTGCGACTGTGGGAACGAAGATGCATGCAAAGGGTGGTAAGAAAGATTTCTACCCTCGTGCTCTAAGGGGTAGTTCCAAATTTTGGATAAATTGACACGTCACCTTTTGGGCTGAAATAAAAAAAAATATCTTGCAAAGTGAAACAAACCTGCAGTACCACTGCAAGATAATCAGGTAACCGTCTCGTCAGAGTGCTCAATAAATCCAATGGATTCGGGAACCAGGATCTTCATTGACCACTTCTTGATAGAAGCCCATGTTAACTTTGAGTCAAGTTGTCATCGCATTAAGAGGCAGGAGAAAACATGGCCTTTCAAAGTGCGCGTTTAAGTTTACCTCATCGTAGAACTCCGCATTCAAGGTGAAGGCGATACCAGACACAGAGCCTGCAGTGGCTATGACGATAATATCATACTTGTTGGGCCAGGATTCGATCAGACAGTTAGGGGTTGCGTAGCCGTTCGAGTCCTTGTTGCTGCACAATACACCTTCCTGCCTCAGCAACAGATATTTTTGATTTGAAAAGATATACGTATAGATTCAAAGGCACCGTTGGATTTAACCTTTAAAAAAGACAAAAAGATTGCCAAATAAATCTTTCATAATAAGGGGGAAAACGTGCACAAATGTTCACACTGAGGCTGCCAATAGCGGGATTTGAACCTGCGACCCTGTGTTGTGACTTTAAACTTTATACGATATATGGCTGACGATTGGCGCCCCTTGACAAAGATATAGTGTATGACAAATTGAGAATTATATAACAAAATGTGTGAGTAGTTGAGTTGCTAGACTACCCGTACAGCTTTCGGGAGATCACATGTTCATATCCTGTTCTATTCTTAGGTCGAGTTCGGGCGGTCTGTTCTTGACACGGGTTTCTTGTTCTCGCGCTCGAACGGCGGGAACACGACTCAGGAACACTGATCTCGGAACAGGATCACACACCACCTCCTCGTCAGGGTTTCACAGGAACACACGGAAAACCCATGAGATTTTGATTTTTGAACAGCTGCAAAAAGTGGAGAGGTGGCTTCCAAAGCCATAGACCATGTAGACAATGGGAAGTTTTGCAAAATTAACATTAATTATTTTCCCAAATACAGAAATGAATGTTCCTGTTTATATAGAAAAGAATTCAACCCATCCAAACCTTAACTCTCAAGTAACGTACATGGACGCCGCCATGTTGCGTGTTGTTTGTTTCTTCTCGGTGTTCGAGCGGTCGACCCACGAACAACAAATTGAACTGTTCGTGAACATGCGGGAACAAGCCGCCCGAACTCAGCCTTAGTGTCTTTGCTGATGTCAACAATACCCAAATCAGTAAACAAGGCCGCTTATTCCCTTACAACAACCATCCCCAAAGGAAAGAAAAAAAAAAGACACAAAAATATAAGGCAGGAAAACCCAAACCCAACTAATCAACAAAAGAAAAAAAACAAAAGCAGCCACCGTGAAAACAAACAAATAATTAATAACAAATAACGTTTTAAAGAAGCTAAAACATTTTTTGGGAAAACGCCTATTTGGATTACTTTTAAAAAACAAAGATGACAAAAAAAATCAAGTTGCCATGACGTTTTGTAACAACTTGAGGTTGCTGATTGATGCACCCAATCTGTCATGAAAATAAAACCGTTCTCATTTGACATTATCTTGGATTACTCAGTTAGTAGCTTTACTGTAAGTAGTGGGATGAAGCATTTTAACCGAAATTCGTGGAGGAACTCACCTGATAGTTGGAATCGATAACGAAGTACTCCACCACCCCTTTGACGGGTTCCCAGCCAGGGTTGTTGTTGAGGAGTACAGTGACGTTCACGGCGTCCCCGACCGATTGACCGCAAAGCCGTCCGATGAATACCCTGCTCTCGTCCTGTTGGAAAGTCTGGACATCCACGGTGCTGTACCTGGAGATAGTGGAAACAGCCAGCTGGCTCGAGGTGGCCACAGCTGGAAGCAAAGCACACCTGGGGGCGTTTCAAAGCGTTACTCTCTAAATTATTATTTAAAGAGTGACATGGCAACGATTGCAGTGAAACCTCGCTAGCTGCCACGAAACTTCCATGGAAATTGACTCAATCAATGTAATATCAAAATTTCACTCAAATTCTCTGCTGGGAGTTGTTCTTTTCAAAATTATTGAATCGAAATGTAGAATAATTTTCAGTGTACATCACATTTCACTCTCTGGAAATCGATAATGTTTTTGCCTTGGTCTTACATTGTGGACACCGATGAGTCTCTGGAGTACCAATCAACCCACCAACAAATACACAATATACGATAAATAGTATTCTTTATTTTCTGAAATGCGGCCTTAGGAGAAACTAACTTAGAAACTCAGACTGAAGAAACTTACCGCTACCCCCGTGTTTAAGCCGCATCAGATGTTCTTCCCACTAAAAGCAAACAAAATCAATATGCAAATTGTATCCCACTGAAATATTTATTCCATACTGTATTCTACAACATTAGCCGTAGATTGGGGGCCTGGGAACTGCCTCTCAAGATAGAAAAATAAGTTACGAAATTAATATTAAAACTACAAACCAAAACTTTCTTGTTGAGTTAGCATGAATGTGTTAATGTACAAGTACAATCTCAGTGTAGAAAGTGTGAAATAGATGCTACAGAATCAAAATACATGTAATAAAGACATTAATCGTTCAGGCTTTGAATTAAATGAATACGTTGCATTTCAAACGAGAGAAATATTTTCACTGAGCCCGTATCTCAAGTCACAAAACCTGCTTATCTCTGTTGTCTGTAGTAGTCTACAACAGACAACACGGTCTACAGTTGGACCATTCCGCTCTAGAGAGCGAGCATTATCAGAGTCGCGTAGTCAGCTAGCAAGTCGCCCTTTCAATATCGCGCGCTTGCGTTCAAAGTTCGCAGTAGTTCGTTTCACTTGCAGGTGTTTGTTACGAGCGGTTTGGTGGTGCACGTACCCACGGCCTTTCTAGTGGTAGTTGTGAGTGTCGGTCAGGCTAAATTCACGAAAATATTATGAAATAACGGAAAGCACAGTGGGTAACAGCTTTCAGCTGAGATTCGCAAATATTCCAGTCGCAGTCCTCTGAGAATACGTTCACAGGGACCTAGCCCGCAGAAAATCCCCCCAGATTCCCACATTTGTCATGAGTTTGCCAGTAATCATGTTACTGCTACATTAGCTTATCTTTCATCAATTAAAGAATTTTGCTTTTTTAATACCTGATAGCCACGGAGAGACATTGCAGAGCATGTCACCATCTGACCAAGCAGAAAGCAGCAAGAGGCAAACACAGTCAGCGCATTCATTTTGGCAGTTGTCGGATGGGCTTGTTCGGCGAAAAACGCAGCGTTACCTCGGCGTCATGGAAGCTGGAGCAAGTAGAATGCCCAACCAGCGGAGGGGCCTCGTCTTTTAAAGCTTCGTTCTGGCCCCCACAACTCCGCCTTGAATTTGAATTACTGTACGACAGGCCTGGTTTGCCACTGATCAACAAACGTGACCTGGATGGTGTGATGTTTGAAATTTGGCCAATCACGGACTAAGGGCCAGTAAGTCTATATGAGACAAGAATGGATACCTCAGTGAATCCAAACCACTCGTGAAGAGTGTAGGGTCGTAATGGGTTGGCACCGCTACGTCATTTGGGGTTCACGTGACATTGTAAAGAGAGTCTGTACGGAAAATTAACCAATCAGAGTTGTAGTTTGCGAAACAAAAAGTTTCACCGTGGAGAGTAGGCAATCGTAACATGATAAGCAAATAAAACCGTTCTAGTATAAAACGGGCACGGTGTAAATACCAACCACAAAACGATTTAACGAGGACACGCTATTTTGGTTCACCAGTCTTTACTTGGCCAAGCCTCTATGCAACAGAACATCAGCTACTTGGGGCTGGAAATAATATACGCCCCTGTGGACATGCGTGCTATTACATCCTGGCTGTGGCCAGCGATTGGGAAACGCCCCCCGGCCCCATCTCCTCAAAGCTTCAGGTTCTGATCGAATCGCGCATGCGCGATACAAGGCCTCGTCGGTTCAATAAGCCCACAGACATGTCTGTGATTAATTAAGCCCCGCCTGTATGGACTTTTGACCAATCACAGCTGTACTTCAGACAAGCATGTATGCACCAGGTAACAATTACCTGTTCCAGGTGACAAACAAGTCTGGTACTACCACAGTCACGACGGTGTGTCGTATACCGAGGAGCACGGTTTATGGCATTGAGACGCCCAAGAGTGGCCCCAATGTGCGCATCGAGCAGGCCTCTTTTTGACCTGCACTTTCGAATGACAAACCACATCTCTAGTTCCACAAGCAAAAACCATGAAGACTTTAGCTTCTGCGGTATACATGTACATGACTGTATATATGTTCAACGCGAATATCTGTAGAAGGAAACTTCAGATTTCCAACTGTTGGAGCACCACGTAACACATACATTTAGGGTTGCATATTTCATTATTTTACATACATACAGTACATAGGGTTACATACATTTCTGCTGCAGAAAATGGGAAAATTCGGTAATACGCCTTTTGGCCTTCAGAGCAGAGGAAGTGAATTATTTCAATAAGTTGACCTCCAACGCCAGAGGTCAAATAACAGCACACACTGCAAAAACCCGGGTGTTAAAATCAACACTTGTGGGTGTTATCAGATGACCACACCATAGGG